CTTCCAACCATAACGATTCTATGACTCTACCTGCATACTCCTCTCCTCTCCCAAGCACTGCACTGCTTCCAGGGTCTCATGGTGACACATGCATTCCCTTTTGCTGTCTTCTGTTCCTAGAGCATCAACAGTTTCAGTCTATAATCCTCAAATGACTTGGAGGATTGCACCTATTGATTCACTCTTGTAAAAATCATAAAAGGTCTCTATTTCCTATTTTTAGTGTGCAAGCTTAAATAGCACACTTACCAAAAGCGGAATGTTTCTACTAGTGGTTACAAGATCTTGACTATCATCTATGGACTACCTGATTCCAAAATGAATGAAAATAAAAGCAAAGATAATGAGGAACAAACATAAAGCAATACTCACCTGCCATGGTGACAGACCTTCCTACTGTACTTCCAGAAGCTTTATTTCTGACATATTCATATAAAGCACATTTTGAAAAATAATTGGCAAGAAGGTGGCTGGGAGCACAAAACCACTGCTGGTAGATTTGGTAGACTTCAGAGTCACTGAACATTATTAAATGTTATTTTTCAGCAGTGACCTATTAGGAAGGCAACTTTCTAGATGAAACTGAAAGACCTTCATTTAGAAGCAATAAACAGTCAAGGTGGAAGACGTAAGAGATAATTAACATTTTAGAAGCCCACAAACAATTTTGGGGACAGCTTAGCTTTACTGACCTAGATTTCAATCATGGATCTAATAAATCAGGCTTTTTTATGTCTACCTACACACAGGTGCTTTGCACAACAGAGGGGAGCAGACAAAATCTGGACTGTTGGGAATAGCAGCTGTACACACACAGGGGAACATGTTTTTGACAGCACTCTAAAAGCATCACATAAGCAGACCAGTACTTCTGCTCTGTGAATTTTCTTACCATCTTTGATTTCATCAGGGTCATAAGCCCCCTGCACCGTGCTCTCCCGTAGCCAAATTGGTCTCTCTCTGGCTGGCTTTCCTTCACTTGCAGACCGGTTAAGATCTTCCTGGTCCTCCATGCTGATGACAACGTTCTGGGTATACAAGTCCTCATATGATGGTCCTTTTGTAGTCCATGCTTCCCGATGGTGTCCACCTGCAAGGCCAGCTGCTGTCCCTGAACCAGTACCAGCTGCACGTTCCTTGCTACATAAAAGTCAAAGAGAAAAACAGAACGCTCAGAACAAGCCCTTCCTTGGCCCACACTGCAACACTTAAACTATGATTAGTTATCTCCCATGATCCGCACTAAGAACTTGCATTCTCATTTCTAACATGTGGTGCCAGGAATTTCTACACCAGCTGGCTGGTTTGGGGAACTAGGGGATCTCTGAGCACGTTCCTTGCTACATAAAAGTCAAAGAGAAAAACAGAACGCTCAGAACAAGCCCTTCCTTGGCCCACACTGCAACACTTAAACTATGATTAGTTATCTCCCATGATCCGCACTAAGAACTTGCATTCTCATTTCTAACATGTGGTGCCAGGAATTTCTACACCAGCTGGCTGGTTTGGGGAACTAGGGGATCTCTGATGGGAAACCCTACATGAGGCTGTGGCAACTTCCACAACAGACACTGAAAAGAAGAGGTAGCATTAAAGCTGCTGATGCGCTCAAGTAAAAACAAACACAAAATCCCAGAATACCCTGAAATAAAAGCCACAGCAGCAAAACATAGTCGAACAGTAACCTGCATTTGGAAAAGCCTCTTTTTGGCCTTCACACAGCAATCATATACCACGTAAAAAAAGTACTAAAGTTTAAACAGGTCAGATGGTAGGCGCAGAGATGCAGCATGCGCAGATCTGTGAACCATTATTAATCACAGGACTTGTGAAGGAGTTAACTCACCATGAAAAACTCAGTTCAAACCTTTGCTTGAATTGTGAGTGACAACGCAACATGGTAAGTCACATCTCCTGTGTTACACAGGAGATCTGTACTATCCACAGACACAGCCCTAGGAGGACTGGGGAGTCCAGACAGAGGAGAAGAAAGAAGAGAGGGCACCTTCAAACCACAGGGTTGGGAAAAGGGCTTTGTGTGGTGACTGTGTGCGGGAGGAAGCAAGACTGAACCATCTTCATTGTGGAAAAGCTGGAAAAAGCAAGGCGATAACCGATGCGAAGGGTACGGCAATCAAAGCCTAGCCCTCCTTTGTTTTCTGAGAGGAGCTGCAGCCAGCACATTTTCCTCCAGGGTCCCTTCTAGTTCAGGAGACTGATGGAGAATTTGCTTGGATCTGATGGAAAGAGGACATCAGGTGCAGTATTTTCTGCACAGTGATGGCAATGAGCCTAAAATACGCTCTGGCTTGTGCTGCTACATATGCATTAATCAGGGAAAGCAGCTGAATAGAAAGTCACTGCTCTCTGGGTGGGGAAAGCCAAATGTGACCATTCCTCTACCTCAAAATCATATTTAATCTTCTCAGAGAAACAGATCCACTGCAGACTGCACCCTCCCTCACCCATACAATTTCAGTCATCTGACTGCCAGTGGTACCTACAGCTTTTCACAGGTAACAGCCCTGCCTGGACTCCTCCTCTTGTCCAGAGCAAATCCACCAAGGATACTCAGTGCCCCTGCTCTGCTGCCAGCTGAGCTGACAGAAGTTGCCAGTGAGGACGGTTCAGTCACTGCTATCTACCCAACGACCTTTCCTCCAACTGAGAAGCTTAAAATAAAGGTTGCAGTTGGAGAAGACCTGAGTCATAGGCGATTTTCTTAGCTCAGCAAGGACTTAACCACTGCTTGATGAGCTAATTCTGATGGATTTTTAGGGGTAAACAGTGTGGGCAAAATATATAGGTGGGTGATCATCTCTCTTCCCCAGATAAAAAAGATTGGCCTGTTCAGCCACAGTTTGGATTGAGGGCTACTCACAGCCTTCCAATAGTGAGCTTGCTGGGGTCTGTTAGCAAAATACTTCACAGCATCCATGTCAGCATATGTCCACACACTAACTGGTTCTCTCCTGCAACCAGCCCTGCTAGGAGAGCTTCACAGCAGCCTTGAATTTTGGGGCAGAAGACTCATGCACATATATTGCTTATATAACCTAAGGAACCATACAGAGACCTTCTTCCCAATGCGTTATTTCAAGTGTTGGTACCTTTCAGCTCTCCAAGACAGGCGTGTGTTCTGTGAAAAGCACCACTCTGCTTCCCACACAATAGAAATCTCTAACTAGCGTTTCCCTGACAATTTTATGTAATCCACTTGCCTCACAAGATATACAATGCAGCTCGCCCCCAAGCTCTCCCTCCCCACGACTGCAGCGTGACAGCTAAATACTCAGAAGTGCCAGGAATTGCCTAATAATACTTTTGCACAGAGGTCCCCATAAATGTGCCCGAAATGGACTTTTTTCCTATGCAGTATCATTTAGCAGCAAAACACTTATTGCATGACGTCAGGAACATTTCAAAAATGAAAGTAACAGCTCTAAGAGACACCTACAGCATTAATTACTTTAAGCCATCTACTGCCATGTCCCCCACTTCAGTGGAACCATCTCAACACTTTCTGTCTATTTTCAGACCCCAGTGAGCTTTGCAAAGGTGCCTCAACTGAATTCCTTGTTTGTGGAACTGCATCTTCAGTGACACTGTTGGTAGGAGTGAGTGACCCCTCAAGGCTACACGACCGGGGGTATACGCCTTACCGCAAGGAGAGATCTTACCGTTCAGCAACCTGTTCCAAAGTACAGGATTAAACACCATGGATCAGGCACCAGCAAAAGGCCAGGTGTGCGAGCTGCCTTACAGGCAGCACTGCGCAGATGAAGGGAGTACACTCTTAAATCTCTTTTTTAGATCCAAGATCTGCTTTTTCCCTGCCTAGGTCTAGACTTTGCATGGCCATCCTGCAATCAGGAACTGTGGCAACTCAGTGGCCCAGACATGGCTACATTTGCTCTGTTACCCATAGGTTGTTTCACCCGGATGGAAATCCCTTAATGAGTGGTTAGCTGCCTTTAAGGGCGACATAAATAATCCTTGACATAGCTGAGGTATGGCCCACAGAAACCACACTGTGCAATGGGGAAACAACTTTAAATTTTCATCTCAATCCTGCCCAGACTATTAAGAAAAGGTCTTGCATAATGGGGATAACTCTTTTTGGTGGTGTTTGAAATAAAGCACTTTTTCACTTTGCTGCTCTTAAGAGCTTCAACTTCACAGCTGACAACCCATGGTCCTTGACAGCATGACCACAGAAAATTAATTCTGTGAAGATTTTTGTTATATAAAATCATGCTAATCTTGACAAAAGAAGGAGGGGTAATTAAAATCCATCTGTTTTAGAAAACCACAGAGAAGGGTTTAGGTAGAACAGGTTTATTTCAAAACCTGTGGGGTTAATTCATGCTTTGCCAAGATTAAAGAGAATTAACAGCCTCCCTGAATGAAATAAATGAAGATCTGCCTAGTTTCCTACAGCAGGTGACTGACAGTTGTGCAATGTCAGTGTGGTCGCTTAGAGCTGTAACTCTGCTGAAAACACATGAAGTTGCCTGCGTTGGTGCAAAGAGAAGATGCAGGCACTTTGTGACCTTTTCTGTTTGTTTCAGAATCACCAAATGTCAGTTTTGTCAATGACTTCAGACACTCAGAACTCCATAAAAATGGAGAGAATAAATAACCCAGGGTTTGCCACTTTTTAAAAAAAAAATCTCACAGCAGTGCTTTCATGCAATTAGCTGTTTTGAATTAATAACAGTTAATAAATAATTAAATCATTGTATGTGCTGAAGCAAACTGTGTTCAAGTAAGCATTTAAAAAGCCGCTTATTTGTTTTGTCATTCCTTGCACAGAGTAATTAATCATTTACAATGTTTTTTAAGTATTTAAGAGTCAAGTAAGTGGGTGCTGCTATTTAATCATGGGACTGCACCAGGCTTCTGCTGTGATAATTTCCTGTGCACAGAAAGGGAAGACTGAGGAATTACTCTCTTTTGGTGAGGTTATCCCAGTTCTACCACACAAAATAAAGAAAAGAGTTTTTAAAGCAAAGTCTAGTGATTCAGCTTGGGCATAAAGGCTTCAAAGACTCTCCATATCACCAAAGACATGTTGAGTGACCTTGGAAAAATCTCCTACCCTCTCTATATTGCTTCCGTTTTTCTATCAGAATGATGAGAAAAATTAGCTCCCATCTTGGCTAGAAAAAGACTATGAATAGACAAAGAATTTTTCATTATATTAATTAGAAACTGTCTAGCATGAATATATGAGGAACGTTCTCTCTCAAGGTTAGCCTGAGAGAGAAAAAGAAAGAGAAAAAAAAAAAAGAGTATCCTGCTTGCTCTGCCATTAACTAAAGGCAAGCACCCCAAGGCACTATGGGAATGTTTCCCCTCATGGTCCATTTCCCTGCCCCCCATGTGCTTAATTAATTTTTTTTTAAACACAGAGAAGTGCATCACATTTCACCACAGCTGACAAAAGTGACAGTTCCCCACATCCTTCTGCATTATTTAAACATCATCTGTTTTTGTACTGCTAGGAATGTTCTGAAAGTAAGTGTCGTTTCCCATGGGTAGGAACATTTTAAAGAGTTTTTGACTATAACATGGTCTACTCCTGAAAAGGTGTGTAACAAGTAGAAGAAAATCAGAAGAAAAAAATACCCTTATTAGAAGTAATGTCTTTGAACTAGAATGTTGTTATATGTGGATTTGAAATGCAAAGTGTACAATACAGATAGGTTAGTTTCAAAAGCTGGGTAGAAGCAAAAGGAGTAGATGACAGACAAGGGTTTGACAGAAAGAAGATAGTGTAGATGGCACCTTCAGAGCTTTGCCAAATGGCTGCAGTTTGCATTTCTTAAATACTAGGGGGGCAAGGGCTTCATATACGTACCAGCTGCAGCACAGCAAGCAGCAGGTTAATTTGAGTATCTCACCCCACAGAAAACTACATGCAGGAGACTGACCAGAAGAATAGTCATCTGCCTTGTTTAGTAAAAAATGGTTAAGGCCCTTTGTCTTCTTATAAACCACACATTCCTTGGGGAATTTGTCAGTTGCTTGCATAGTTGGTGCTGAACAAGTCAGTCCTCAACGCAGCCAGGGGCTGCACAAGGTTTGGGAAAGCCTCACAGAGCAGACGAACTCCCTACAAAGAAGTAGCGCAATGAGAGAAGACCAGGCAGGTTCCCACCTCTGCTTCAGCGCAGGAATCTCTGTGGGTTCTGGCTCGAGGATTTCATAGGCTAAGTTAACGTCTTCCGTCTCACGAAGCAGCGCATAGATGGGCTCAATCTGCTCATTAAATCTTGCCACGAGTGTCCTTGCATCCTTTTTGGGCATTGCCGACTCATCTTCTTCCACTTCAGTCTCGCAGAAAGTACAGCGGAAAGTTCCTAAAATGAAAAAAGCTGCTAAGAATTGGAAGGAAAGTAGCAGGCCTGGCTCTTTATACAGCCTTTTAAACAGCAGTGCTTTGCGATTTCCTTAGCTTCATGCTAAATAGCTTTTTTCCCCCCCTGACAATCCCTTCCCACACACAGTGTACCTGGTTATTATTTAAGCAGACAACAAAGCAAGCATTTTGATCCCATCCAGTGATACCCAGCTGGGTACAGTTTCTCGCTCTGAAAAGCCCAGATGGGCTGCAGTACCTCTACTGAGACATCTCCTAATCTCACTCCCTCTTTCTTGCTGCCCATTTTAAATGTCAGCGATGACTGGGCTGTGATAAAAAGCTATACAATGTATTCTTAGAAATTCAACTATTGCCTGTTCCAGGTGCTTGCACTGGCATCTCCCAGGTCACATGAAGGGGTTAACTGCACCGTGAAATCGAGTGTAGTTTTACACTGTACCAACCAGCCTGCAGTAACTGCTAGTATAACTATTGTCACTCCGCAACTAATGTAAAAAAGATGGCTTCTCCTTCTGTTTCACGGCCAAAACATGTTAAATAGTCATTACTGCACAGCAGCAAATGCAAAAGCTTACCCCACCTAATCCCCATATTAACTTCTTGAAATTAAGAATGGTGAGATAAGAATTGTATGAATGGCAATTAGGAATAAGCTCGTTTTACAGACCTCATCAGGACCTTTAAAAACAGCTGAAACATAAAGGCAACTGAAATGGTTACATGACAGTGCAGTCACAAAAAACCTACTGAACTCCTGCACAGCAGGCTTTCCAGTTTCATCGTTCCATCTGCGAGTAGGACCCTTGGGGCCGTACATGCACAGTAGGACCTTACCATATGGTCCACTACGAGAGGGGCAGCACTGTGTAATGACTTATCCTTGCAAGTGCTGGACTCAGAACGTCCCGCTGCCTCCCCTAGAACACTGGCATCCAGAGCGATGCTCACAGGCTTCTCGATTTTCTCTTGTCCCCGTGTGACTTTTTTATTTATCTGTTCTGTAACACCTATACACATCTAGCATCATCTCTCAATATTCCAATAAAGAAACGAAAAGATCTTTTTACCAATAGGGAGCCTGAGGACAGGTCGTATCAGGGAAATGATAAGCAAAGATGTAAGGTGTACACACACGGTCAAAAGAATGAGTTTGCCCGGGACACATGGGCATGACGTAATGAGACAGGCTGGCAAGCCAGGGCTTCTGGTATCTTGTTTTGCTGCTTACACAGATTTGCTAGTCTCGTCACTTCATTTTTCAGTGTACCTCCTTCTCTGCCTGTAATACAGCGATAAAAACAGACCTAACTTCTTCAGTGATGGCTGTGAGGGCTAGACAATGCTTGCACGCTTCTTGGAAAGCACACAAAAGCACTGTTTATGGCAGGAGGCAGATCTGTTGCTTCTCACCACAGTCTGTAGAGATGCAGTTTTCTGCCTCGGCACCATCTGAAGTAGCATTTGCTCATTGTTACTCATAAATTAATGCAAGTGTGTTGCATATGTGGCCTGTAATATGTACACACTTCCTGCAATAAACTCTTTAGAAAGTTTGTCTTATCTACATCTAAAAGCTAGAGCACCCAACAGCAGAAGTACGTAAACTAAAGGATAAGTGGATAAAGTGTTCTTCTCTCCCATCCAAGCATGAAACACTCTGCTTATTTTTTTCAGGCTGTAAAAATTGCCCCTACTGATTCAAAAAGTGCACATTATATAAGCTGTCAGCCCAGCAAAAATTGAAGCCAGTTTGGTCTCCTTACCCCACATCTGAGGCTATTGGCGTGACACACTGGCAAACAAACTGAATCAATTTAAAACAATTAGCACATCTCAGTCCCTATAATGGACTAAGTGAACAGCCACAGGTTAATAAGGAAAACTCCCCTCTTTTTACACCCCCCACAAAAGTCCTGTTACATGTTCCTGAGACAGCTCAGACTTTTCATGCTTCCATCTGTGAACCCCATGAGTATCTGCAAAAGATTAAGATCGTAGGGAGAATGGTTCCAATTCAGAGTACCAAAAAATCAGAAAGAAAATACAGCTCTAATGAAACAGAACTCCTAAAGCTATCACGGATTTGCTGCAACTTCCACCCCTCAGGGTTCTTAATAAGCAAAAAAAAAAAGTTAATACATGAATTATGTAGAGAATCTGGGAATGAGTGAAATGACAAGCTTCCTCCATTAATATGCTGATTTTTTTCGAGGTGATGCAGCATTTCATAAGAGGTATATGTGATTAGAGAACTGGGAAGTTGCTTTGCCATGGCAGATGGCATTTATATGTTGCAAACCTCTTTCGTTAGACTTTAAGAGGTCACAAAATGTCACCAGAGCTTTTATGACATGGCACATCACATCAGCAGTGACACATGTTCCTTACAGATATGAATTGCCTGTGACAAACATGAAGTAGAGGCCATCCCAAAGGCTGAGAATGGCAATGTTCCCACTCCGATGATTTATTTCTTCCTTATACAACTGATAGTTTTCCATTCAAATAACCTGCATAAACCAGGAGAAGCAGATATCCTGGAGCAAACAGACATGAGGCTTTCCTGCATCTTGGAAATGCTAATGGAGCGCGCGTACATCCCCTCCTTTCCACACATGCTCAGGCACTCAACAGACCTCTCTGGCTGCATGTTAAAGACCAGTCATCTGAAAGAGATCTCCTCATCTACTCCCAAGATCTCCAGGGCAGATACGCTGGTAATCTGGCTCCCCAAGGCATACAAAGATTAAAGCAGCTCCAGCTCTGAAGTATAGGGCCAGAATATTTAGAGGTAATTCCTAATGATTTAATTTCACTTGAGAGAAGGAAAAGGTCAACCGCTCATGCACATGGCACGCACGATGTCCAAGCATGCATGCCGCATCTGCTATAATTAACACATTTAACTGGCTACAGCCTCCTGACTCTGAGCCCAGGTTCTGCTCACCCCCTTCTCAAAGAGTTCAAGCCTCACCTCCAGCCCAACAAGGTGTCTTCCTTCCACTCTGTCCTCTGGGATACTGCCCCAGACTCTCACTACTCTGAAAACTTACAAACTATTTAATTTTCAACATAAACTTATTCCCATTCATTTTAAACCTATTTACTGTTGTGCCGAAAACTGTACCTCAGCTCAGTTAGCTTCCAACTTGCTGTTAATCCTCCAGGTATACTTACAAACTGCTGTCTTACTCATCCCTCCATCTTCAATTTGCAAGGCTCAATAAGCCACACATTTTTCTCTGCCTTTTAAAACTGGCCACCCATTCCTCCAGCCATGCTACCAGCCTCATTGGGCACTTTCTCCAGTTCGCTCTCATCTTTCTGCTGTAAAGATGGAAGTACATACAAGCGTCCAGATGAGCTCTCCCAAAAGCCCAATGACATTAGTGCTTCTGTGATAGCCTCTGAGACCTTTTAAGATCACAGTGTTAACAGACCGTGAAAGTGCTGCCTCAATTATCACAAGATCTAGCAATGCTCCCAGATCTTTCTTCCTCCTGTGGAGTTTCCAGTTGATGAACTCCACGTTTATAGGAGACATTTGCATTAGATGCTAGGTGCACGACACTGTATAGTATAATCTTTCAGCTCCTTTTTATTCCTCCAGCCTTCAGCCTCATCCAATTCTTTATTCTTGACTGCGTCACAAAACATTAAGCTAATTTATTTTCAAAACCTCCCACAACCTTCTTTTAGACATAGCACTATTACCATTACGTGGAGAGTGACCTAAGGCACAGATGACACAATTTCAGAAGTATCGGCTGATTTGAGCAGTACTTGATTTGAGATGCCTAAGAAATGCTTTTCTTAAATTTCTGTTTCAGAAAAGAGCACGCAGTATATTTTTATCAATCTTCTTTCAGGCTCTAGAATCAGACATCTCAAATGAATTAGGTACAACAGCTAACGATAGCCTTTGAAAAGTTTAACTGAAAATGATTAGTCTAACACCACACAGAAACTCAGCTGGCCTGGAGGATCAGATCGTGTTCCTGTGGCTACTACAGCCATTTTCTTTAAGTAATTCCCTGACTCTCACACTGCATGTTTTTCCTTCTTCTGCAGCAAACCAGACAAAAAGTGCATTACATGTGCACAGCTCCACTCTCTCACTAAACAACATACATGTTTTTTTGGGGAAAAAAAAGAATATGCCACAGAGAAAAAGTTACAGTATGCATAAGCAACTTTAATTTCAGCACTCCCTAACCCTGAGTGCTTTATTTGATGTTAAAAAGAGAGTATTAAGACCCTGAGGAAAGAACAGGAGTTCCCTAGGTTCCTACCAACAGGAAGCCGGACAAATGCCTCCCCGCCATGCAATGTTGTGCCCACAGCCATATGGTTAATCTGCAGACCTGGAGCCCTCAAGCTCTGCACAGGCCTCTGCCATTTGACTCAACAAAGAGAAGATGGCAACCTGCTAGTGCTGCAGAGGGAGAGGGATGCCTTGCCAGCTTGCTTCCTGGCAACAAAGGCAGGATGAGAAGGAAACACCTCGGCTCCTGCTCCAGCTTCTTGAAAGAGATGTGCTTTGTGGGAATCTGCTATCCTACCTGCTAGCTCCAAGCCTGAGATTACCTATCCAGCTCTTCCCATCTTCCCATCCCATTCCAGTTCTGGGCTCTTCCCCACTCTGACGGTCCTATTCTCCTTGCTAGCAAGTCCTGGTCTATCTAGTCCTGCTTTCTCCGCCTGAGCTTCCCTCATTCCTCAGACTTCTCTGTCCACCCTTCTTTTCCTGGGCTGCTTTCTCCAGTCTCAGGCTTCCCTCACTCCCATGCCTCTCTGCCCCACACGCTTTGATCAGCTAATTAATTCTGCCTCTTAATTTGAGCCCTGGTCACCAGATTAATTTCCTGTTTCAAGCCAGAGAGATGGAAGACCTTTTCACAGCACAACCTGTCATTCAGAACAATGTAACACAGACAAAGGAATATACGTTTCTCTGGTCTCCTCTTCCATTTTCTC